TGCAACATTTACATTCACTTTAACATGAAAAGGATATTTTCACTCTATTTACAATAGATACAGATATCCTTAAGATATCCTCAAGTTAGGAACATCGAATGCAAAAACTTTTATTCTTTCTCGTTCCCAGCAACGTTCACGAAACAGAAGAACTGTGGCGATTATCAATGTCTAGCCGGCTGTGATATTAAGTTCCAGTTAAGCAGCGCTACAGCTGATTTGTAAAGATTACAACTACTTCTTCCTATTCTAGAGTTTTCTTAATATGTTATTATTTGTTCCGATTAATTAACGTTCGTTAATGTTTATTAGTCTTTATTTAGTGTTAAGTTTTTAGTTAATAAATTAACTTCTTTACAAGATAGCTCTAGTGATTTAATACATTACAACACGGCTACAGCGCTGCTATTCTATTTCTACTTCACTTCTTTATATCAAACGACTTTTTTTTATTTTAATTAAGTTCTTTTTAAAGTAGATTACATTTTTATGACGTCATTCTATTTTAAATAAAACGAACTTAATAAAACTTAGAATGTATATTAATTACATAAAATATTTATTCGTAATTTTTCAGAAATACCACAACATAAGCCTGTGGCTTTCGCAGACTGGATATGATATCACCTGATTAGCGATCTTTTAGAACTTTGAAACAAAATCCTTTTGAAAAACGGACTCTTCGAAATGTAGGGACGAGGAGGGAGCAGCATCGGTGCATTTCGGAAGGAATGGTTCTCATTTTCGTCATTCGATCCTATTTCGCAACCGGAAGGCGGTTGCCACACTTTTCAATAACGGGGCTGTTTCGTCTGCAAGAAGGGTGTGTCCGACTGACCCTGCCCTTTCGGCCCGACTAAGTGGGTCACGACCCACGACCACTTTCTCTGCCAGACACTTTCCGCTAATCACCGTCCGACGAAAAGGTCCCCGTCCACGCCTCGATCGGACCCAAGAAACGAGTCCGTCATCTTGCCGGGGGGGGTCGCGCGACCGGACGGGATATGGGTCGAAAATCGAGAGGTCGACACACCGTCGGATATCGCTTTCGAGAAAGTTCCTTTATTTGTTCTAACCGGCTCTGGAACGGGAATACAGTGGCGCGGGAATGCGGTTGCGCACCAAGGGTAGAGCGGGGTGCACGACCTCTCTTGAACCCCCGCGTCAAACCCCGACGCGCTTATACACTCAAATAAATGCACTAATACTTTATCCCCACCACCAGGGCCGTATTTGTGCATTTCTACTGCCTACCCACGTAGTTGTCCGACATTGTATGATATTGCGCGATATTGTACAATATCTTTGTGCTACTAGGTAGGCCAAAGAGCTTAATTCTGCGCCCTCCCCGCCTAGCGCATTCATCGCAATTATAGAGATAGGCAGGGTAGCCATACGTCCCGTATACACGGGACTGTCATCGCATTTCACGACTCAATCCCGTATTACTATTACCCCTACACTGAGAGTCTATTAAACCACTTTGTATATCTGAAAGATTAGTTGGAGAAAAATAATACCATCCAAAACTACAATGAAGTTGAGTATGGAAGAGAAATGGCTGGAGCTTTCTGCAGATACAAAGGATATTGAGCGGAAGTCATGTCTGATAAAGCTACGCGAATACGTATTTTTCATCCCAATCCACTATGCAAATGTGAAGAAAATATTTTCCCTGATCTCAACTCAATGGTCGGACGAAAGAACAGTCGTCAGTGAAGAAAAATGAAGCGATTTTAATTTGTCATTTTAATTTTAAAATGACTTAGGCCTAATTTTATAAGTATGTGAAAAAGAAAATGACGTAATTGAGAAAATTAGATCAACTTTATAATATGACTGGGCTAAAAAGGATTATCCTCGTATATTTTTTATTATTCTACGTGTTCGTTTTATTAGATTGCTTAAACTTTATTGATTTGTTAAACCATTATTAAAACCACTACCTGCTCACTTTTTCATATTTTATTTATTTAACACTTAAACATCCCGTATCATTACTTGGCAATTATGACAGTCCTAGAGACAGGCAATGTAAATGTGCCGTCAATTTATTTAATTGGTATGGATATGCTTAAAAAAGTGTTTAAAATGGTCTTTTCAAAATAGTACTGAAATTGTAAATGATTTATCGTAATTTATTTTATATTCGCGCCCTAGGCCATGGTCTAGGATGGCCCTAGGAGAAATCTGGCCCTGCCCAACACCAGGGCCGTCTTATCCAGTTGGCTATAACGCAGGGGCTTCACTGATCCAGGGGCGCCTAAAAATTTACTTTTCTGGTTTTGTTTTAATTTTAAATTAATAAATTTATTTAATTACAATTTTTAATATGTTAAAAGTAAAAGAAATCTGATAAGTGGATTTAACTAGAGAGCCATCTGTTTCGTAATCTATATTAAAATTATCCTTAAATTTCGGTTCACGGGAAACTGTTTTGATTCTGTGATGATTTAATTTCTAATAGGAGTTGTGACAAGGTCTTTTTTAGATGAGTTTAGCAGTTTCTTTTTTTTAATTTTATATCGATTCATCGATGTGGAACTCCGTTAATATCAAATAGAAGTTATACTAAAATTAATTTATTTTTTCACTTCTGGGAGATCTTTACTTTCGTTTTCGTTAAAAAGGCTCTTTATTTTTCGTACTCAATTTTGGAATTGAATATTTATATATTTTGTAACGAAAGTAAATGTCAATTGATTCATCATTTCTGTTTTTCATGCTTTGATTTTTATTTCTTAAGCACTCTGCCGACGTGCATGATCTTCTCTACTACAACTTTGGTTAAGAAATCTGTGGCAATCAAATCTGAAATATTACTGGCAAGCTAAGAGCCCGTCTTAGACGGGCACAAATCTTCTAGTGTTATGATGAATACGATCGTGGGGGGGGGGGGGGCGCGAAGCTCGCTCACAAAATCCTATTCTGCGAAAGTGCCGATTTGGAAAATTGTAAGGAATTAATGAGAGAAGCGACCTTTTTAATTGCTCCTCGATTGGTTTATTAGGTAGGTATTTCCGTTGGAACACAGGCACTCGAATTGGTGCGTGCGGTTTTGATGAGGCGCCTTATTACCCCGGCCCAGGACGTTCCCATTTGTTGAGACGGTGCTGCCCACCTCCCTGGGTCATCACCCCCTGTCACTGTGCCGAAGCATATTTCACTAATCTTCAGACTATGACTGAGCGAAATCAAAGATACCCACTGCCGAATTCCCCGTCATTCATGGTAACAATATTGTTCCATATTATACGGTATTGCGCAATATAGCAAATGCTGTTCAACACCGCGCAATATTGTACAATATCTCTGTGCTACCGGGAAATTTGCAGGTATTCATGCCAACCGCCGCAGAGGTTAAGGAATCCCAGAGACGCTCAATGTGATGCAAATTGAGGACAATATCCAGGGCCAGATTTCCCATAGGGCATCCTAGGTCATGACCTAGGACGCAGATATGAAAGATATTACAACAAAATATTTACAAAGTATTATCTTGAAAAGACCATACAAAACACTGTTTCCAAGCATGTCCATAAACATTAAATAAACTAGTGGCACATATGCATGGCCTATCTCTATAGTTGCGGTGGATGCACCAGGCGAGAGGGCGCAGGATTTAGTGCTTTGTCCTAGAACTTAAAAATGCATAAATTCGAGGAAGGCAATATGTGAGAGGGGCTGATGACCCAACCGGAATACAATTTAATTGTAATTTCTCGACAGGAGATCTCTAATATCACCCACCTTGGTAAGACTCCCACTACTTGCCACGTTCGAATTGACGAATAAGAGATGTGAAAGCGAATCAGCCAATAGAATAACTTAGAAGTAATTAAATACCTTATCTAACCCACTTTTTTCCACTTTATCACTTTATTATTACATGCTGGGTTTAATTAGTCGTAGGATATATCACATGTCCCTAATTTAAGTTCTTATTTAGGAATATTGCATTGTATTTTCGTCACTGACCCATTTATTTCAGTTCCAAAAAAGAAAGACCCCCGAGCCTAAGTGTTTCCAAAGATCCCCTCCATCGTTGGAGCCCCTTTTAGTAATCCTCATACTACGACTAAACGACATGAAAGATCCACTCTGAACAGGACTGACCTTATGGGGTGCGTGGGCCAACTGGAAACAATGTCTGTCAACAGTTGTTTTTAAAAAAATCAAAGTATTTAGAGTTCAGGATTAGAGAGAGAGAGAGAGAATATAAACCCAGCTGGAGTGTTCTCCCCTCACATATTTAGAGTTGAGAATTAGAGAGAGAGAGAGTATACAAACCCAGCTGGAGTGTGTCTCCCTCGAATATTTAGAGTTCAGAATATTTAGAGTTCAGGATTAGAGAGAGAGTGAGTATACAAACCCAGCTGGAGTGTTCTCCCATCAGATTTTTCGCAAAACAACCAAAAACGCTCAATTTCTGCTCCGTAGTATGATGAAGAAAACCGAGTGTGTATTTCTGAGGTCCCCTCTCGTCCGATTGTAACCAAAAGTGGAGACAGATCTATAACTTTGACGGACAAGGACACACATGAAATTTCACTTATCTAGCTGGTTGCGTTTCTGAGTTTCAGTGTCCAAGTGTCCATCATTTCATCTTTTGTCACAGTGCTAATTAGTTCAACCACTATTAAATGCACATATAATAACCTCAATAGTTAACTTAATGTGATCCCACCTACGCTACTACGCACATCCACCCACATTGCAAAACGGAGATCTTTATCGCCAGAGTCAGGAGTGTGCGTAGAGTGAAGTGTCCAAGTGCCTACGAATAGACAGTCAACCCTTCGTGGAATTTGTTTCAAAATTTGATTCAGATCCACGATCCTCATGATAAAACGATAGAGACTCCCGGATTTTTGTGTTTTTGAGTTGTCGTGTCCACATGAGCAACGGACGGAGGGGCAGAGACGAATTTTGTCCAAAATTTGATAGAAATCTACAATTTTGGTCTTTGATTCAATTCAGAAATTTCATCCATCTACCTCGATGGCCATACCATGTTGAAAGCTCCGGTTCTCATCTGATCACCGCAGTTAAGCAGCATGGAAGGTGACCACCTGGGAACACCGCGTGCTGTTGGCATATTTACCGGCTGTCCTTGTCTTGTCTCACATCCTAACGGGTAGGCCGGACTCCGTGGGTTATGTTATGTTATATTATCCATCTAGCTCGTTGAGTTTTTGAAATGTAGCTATCACAGGCAGAGAGATGAACACAATTCCCAAAATGTTCTTTTTTGAAATCAAAGAGAACTGAAACATGGATATTCATCAATATCTCGAGGTCGAATTTCTGGACGATTGCAATGCTTTCTCTTTTTATAGTTCGTTGAACCTTCTGGTCACAGCGTCCAGAGCACATGCCCTGCCCCTCCCACAGTAGTTATGCCACCGAACTGAATGGAGAGTAGATGGCCCTCTGGCGTGGGTTCCAATCGGATAAAGACCGACCCTGACTCTGAAGGTGGAGAAAGTGCTTTTCATTCTTTGGCCCCTTTAGACAACCTGTGGCGTTACCTATTCTTGTCATTCCTAATTAGCAACCACAGAAACGGGTTTTTATGTAAATTATATTCCAAAATATTTTTAATTTCTAGATTTTAAAAAACCTGTCTGAGCTGTTTGCCGCCATGACGCAGAGCAAAGGGGCGTGCTTATTTTTAACTCCTCCCCCGTCACGGACACTTCAGCATGTTTATTATATAGATTAATTTCCGCCCCGATTTTGTGTGTAGTCTGTATATTTTAATTGAATTTTAATCAACTGTTTGGTGTTGCCATGATACTATTATTATTATTAATAATCCACCGGGGGAGGGAACCCACTAGATAAGATTTACGGCTACACAAAACCCTCTCAGCGTGAAGAGGAATTACAAAAAGGAGAGAAAAAAATAAATTAAAACAGCAATAGTTAACACATAGAGAAAACTGAAAAAGTCTGCAGTGAATGACTTAAATGCTGGTGAAAGCGGAAAAAGTCTTGCTTAATCAATGATGGTATCGTGCCTTCGTTCATGTATCTTCATGAGTCGTGCCAGGGATTTTTTGTCTGGAAGAATATTTTCACACCATGTCGAAAGGTTTTCAGCACCAGAATTCGTGAAATGAGAGGGTTTTGTCACTGGGCAGTCTGGTGCGTAGTGGTCTGGATCACTTTCATCATCAGAAACGCCTCCATCGTGTGAACATGAACCGAACCTGTGAAGATAGGTCACGAAGGGCCCATGCCCCGAGATGGATTGGTCGGTTCTTGAGTTGAATGAGGCTCTGTTACTGTTAACTTGAGGTACGAAAAGTCCGTTTCCTAAAGGTTCCATCTATCCAGCCAGATTTCAAGGGAACACTTTTTGAGATTTATTTTAAGGCAAGATTTACGGAGATCTATCTTGATGTTGAGAGTACTGCCGTGAGTAGCCATGACACTGTGTTAGGATCCTAGGGTGCTTTCAGTGCCCCTGGATTTGGATGTCTTGCACCTTCTGAGGGCAATGTCATCTGTTTCCACTCCGGCCTATGTAAGGCCTTACAACCTTTTGGGTAGGCTGGGTCGGGGCGGGTTTTTACATTCCATTAGCACCCACGCGATACAGTAGGTTGAGAGATTAATGTCGTCTAAATCAGATAAAAACTTCGAATGCCACAGCGTATGCATTAACCCATTTATAAAGAGAAACAGCGGGTCCGCCATTTACTGTTGCCAATTTCATTTGTTTTTCTGATTTAGGTTTAAATCGGGCATGGATTGAAAATAAATCATTAAATGCTTTTCACATCCACGAGAAAAAAGAATTGCTCTCTATATCTGAAATAACCTAGTTTGCCAATGATTGAAACAGACGACGGAATTCAGTAGAAAAATCAGCGCGATTTCATCCTACTGGCGTTTCGATCCAAAAACGTTTGAATTTCCGTCCTGTTATCACACGCCAGCTTTGTTCCAATCTGCCGGACATTCGCTCACAAACATCAGATTTTTCCTCCTCCAACGAATCTCGTGCGCATGGAGAGAGATCTCTATCAAGCTGTGCCAGGCGGAGGAAGGCAGGCGCAGAAATGAGCAGTTCGGGGGATAGTTTTGCTCTGTGCATTCGTCATCCTTTCATCTTAACTATCTTCCGTCGAACGCTAATATTTTTCCGTATTTAAAAGAAAATTGCTAGAGATGCGGCGACTCGGGGGGGAGGGGAAAGCGGTCGCTCCCCCTAAACGTTTTGAAGAAAAAATTGAATTTTATTTCATTTTATTTGCATAAAACAGGGGTTCCCAACCTTTTTTCCCTCGCGTACCCCTTGATTATTCTTTTTTTTTTCGCGTACCCCCTACTATTATATCCTTCCACCCAACCATCCATCTATACAAAGACGTTTTCATCAACAATGCTAAGGATGGCTTAAAAAGTGAAATGACTCGAATTAATAACATTTGCAGAACTTATTTTTGATTTTACGTAAGGGTATAACAACAGTATTGTTTCAACGCCAAATCAAATCAAACCAGTATTGTAATTATTTGTTTTAACTTATAAGGATAGCTAAAAATTAATGATCAATTATTCAAATGGTGTAATTATTAAATAGCAAGTATTTACTTGGAGGAAAAAATTCTTTAACTTTTTGAATCCCTTATGTTTTCTTCGTTCCGCCATTAACAACTTTTATTTCGCGTACCCCCAAATGGTTCTTCGCGTACCCCACGTATCACAGGTTGGGGACCTCTGGCCTAAACCAAGTATTTATAATAAAACAATAGTGTCCAAGAAAGAAAGCTAATTTTGTCACTAAATTTTTAAATTTTGCTGTCTACTAGTGGCGTCCTGTGTCCACTCAATCGGTACAGTTGCCGTAATGGCATCAGGCACGGGGACACGGGGCGGCGTTCGGTCTACCAGTGGCGTAGTCGCAAAATGAGCAGTGTCGGAGCGCTCTATCCGGAGTGACGAAAATGGCGCTGTTGTAAGGACGTATTCACAATTTTTGGTTATATATTTCTCGTAAAAAGAAGCAGTGCCGGAACGACTTTCAGGTGCGCGCCGGCTCCAGTACACCCCTGTTGCCTACCCCTATACTCCGGAGTACTTTAAGGCGTCTATGAAATCACCTCCCACTTTTGCGACCCGGTCGTTGCCACTGAAAAATTAGTAGCTCTCTGAACAATAGACTTCGCGTCCTTTGCTCACCCCTTCCTCAAATCGAATCTCTTGAAATATGTTCTTTATCGCAAAAAAGAGAGAAAAAAAAAGCTGAAAAGAGAATTCATTTCATATTCGCGTTGGCTTTCTTAGCTCTGATTTTAATGCGAATTGCAAATATGACTCTTCGAGATGGTTTAAACACCATGACTTCTGGTTAACCCTTTCTAAGGCCGTGGTAAGTATACTTCCCACCAAATTCATCCATTTTTATATACATTTTTTAAGGTTGGCGCAAGTTCTCGCCAAATTCATCCATTTTTAAGGCTGGCGCAAGTTCTCGCCAAATTCATCCATTTTTAAACGCATTTTTTAAGGCTGGCGCAAGTTCTCGCAAAATTCATCCATTTTTAAACGCATTTTTTAAGGTTGGCGCAAGTTCTCGCCAAATTCATCCATTTTTAAACGCATATTTTAAGGTTGGCGCAAGTTCTCTCCAAATGTTTCGATGAAACAAAAACCTGGATGTTCCAATTTCTTATCTTAAACCATAACGAAGTGTCTTGACTTGGTAATTAATTATTAATTAATAAAATTAATTAGCAAAAAATGATGTCTTCCAATAAGCTGAATGAATTTCTTTTCTTAAATTAATCTCAATACCAAAGTTATTTTATTATACCGCTACTAGAAAAAATGGCATTATAAAGGGTTAAATATCACGACAATAAAAAACATTTTTGCACAACTGTTAGCAAACAACTGGATGAACCAAAGGTAAGCCTAATCATACATGAAAAATGATAGAATTGCTACACGGTTGTTATTTCTCTATTAACTAACTTAATTTTTAATTGCAGGCCGTAAAATAATTTTAAAATAATTCTTGGTAATTTGCGTCACTAAAAATCTCACAATTTTTAAAATAGATTATCCTAATTTTTTTTAGCGTTAAAAACCCAGCTTCGAATATAATGTCACACATGTAATTAATCCATCACCATTTAAAACTTGACAAATTCAAATTCTGAAGTATTTATGAGTTTTGTAATTTCTCTTTTATATATCACGAATTACCTGGACGAGCCTGTGTTCAGAAAGATATTTACGTGTAAATTCTAAATTTCAGTATGACGACATGCATAAAATTTATGTTTTTGTATTGAATATATCTCTGCTTGTCGTCTGACCACACCTTAGAATTGTGCATTCCGTACAAAATAGCTCCAAAAGTGTACGGTGATGTACGTGGACTGAACCTCTTTGAAATCCCTGGAGGACGCGGTGGCCTAGTGGTAAGGTGCCGGCCTTGGCGGCAGAGGGTTCCAGGCTCGAAACACGATGCCACTGAAGATCCGTCGTGTATTGGGCCTGTTGCAGGTTAAATCATACTTGGGGGTCAATCGTCCTCCCGTTGGTGTGGTGCGGAAGTCTGGAAGGGGACGTGCCAGCTCAGGTGTCGTCCTCGTCATCTGAACGAGATTCAAAATTACGAGGTCCGTCCCAAAATAGCCCTCGTGTTGCTTTAAAATCGGAACGTTAATACACCTAACCTAACCTTTGAAGTCCCAAGATGGCCACATTGTACCGATATAATGATTAAGGCAGTAATAGAATTTTTTTTAAATTTGAATTCAGTGGACAGCCGAAGTAAAACGCATAGAAAACTCTTTTTCGACAGAGAGAAATATTCGAAAGCGTAACGAGGGTAAGTAGAGCCCGGAGCATAATACGAGGGACGTTCCGAAAGTAAGTTTCGTCACAAGGAAGGTTTATTACAAACTGAAACATACAATGACATTGCAAAGTACAAACTTTTGGCTTTTTCTCCACATATTCGCCACCGACGTTGATACATTTACCGTACCGTGAAATCAATTCCGAGAAACCATACTAGTAGAAATACTTGCCCAGCGATTGCATTATCGTCTAAGAACGAAACTCCTCGA